AAAGCAAGTTGTGATATTCAAACTCTCAAGATTTCTGGAGGTATCGGTGACAAAGGTGCCCAAACAAGACAGATCTCATTTGACTCTTGGTGTTGCCCTTTTCTCTGGGCTGGCACGGCTGCAGAGAGCAGCCGCAGGGCAGAGGGGCCACCAGCTGCATCCCTGACTCCAGCTCAGGTGCATTGGCACCATCATAATAAACTTCATTATCCCTCAGTCAGGTGGCATCACTCCAAGTAAATGAAGTAATCATGTAAAGGGACTGTTTGATGAGGCCTGCAGTGAATACAATCTCAGGCCCGATGGTGGAGACCTCAGAACGCGTGCTCAGGTTTCACTCTTTTCCCTGATGAATCACAACAGCCAAGAAAGCCTCGTTCTTCTCCCTTGTTCTTCTTCTGGAGGATGGAGTCTAGCTGCCTGACTGTGTGCGTTGCTTGCAAGTATGTTGTAACTTTCATATCCTCAAGGAAATACCAGATACGCGTTCCTGAGCTCTCCTTCCTGACCCTTCGGTAACCCTTGTACCCAGGTGTTTTTTTATGTGATATTTAATTTATCATTTGACCAAAAGACAAGCTTAAATTCAAAGTAAATGTTAAACACTCGCAAAAGATCCGTATAACCAAGGTGAGGGAGCAAACTCCCTCCTGACTTAGTGTTGCTGAGGATTGGTCTAAATGTTATTACTGTAAGTGGGAAATTTTGAATCTATTTTCCCAAGGGTAGCAGCAGCGAAAGTCCTGTTAGAACTCTCTGAGAAGGACCCGACGTTCCTATCTTACTGAGGTCCTTCTGGAAATGTAACTTGTTTATTAATTTCCCTCCTGTTTTCATAGTATAAACTTTGACCATTAGCCAGAAGCTAGTGTGAAGGTGTCGTGGTTTAACCGGGCCAGCACTAAGCACCATGCAGCCACTCGCTTACCCTCCCCCACCCCTGGGGAATGGAGAAGAGAATTAGAGGAGAAAATGGAAGGAGACTCATGGGTTGAGATAAGAACAATTTGATAATAATAATTTAAAAGATAAAGTATTGATAAAACAATAATATATGAATATATGTAATTATAATAATATATATATACAAGTGATGCGCTGTATAATTGCTCGCCACCTGGTTGCAAATGCCCATTCCGTCCCAGCAAGTGATCCTGAAACTGTTAAGTCTCAAAACCATAGTCCCAGAAGACTGAGAGGCCTGAAAAGGGAGTGAGACAGAGGTAGAACCCTGAGAAACTGAGGGTCTGAGAAGAGATCGAGTGAGTCCTCCAAAAGGGAGAGTCCAGCTTCCTGGTCAACCCTCATCTATAAACTAGGCATAATGTTGCATGATATGAAATACTCCATTAGCTGATTTGGCCCTCCATCCTAGGTCTGAGTTCAAATCATAGGGGGAGTTGTGGACCCTTTGTCCCAGCCATGCTCCCCCCCAGATGGTTGTGCTCCTCTACACTGGCAAAACAAAGGAAAGCTGAAAGGTCCTTGATGTCTCAGCACCAGCTATAAACATCATCATGCTATCAACATTCTTCTCATAATAAATCCCATACTAATTCAAAACACAGAGCTCTTCTGGCTACTAAAAGTCAAAACTTACTCTGGCCCTGCTGAAACCAAGACAGAAGGTCACATTGGCAATATTTGTCTTCCCAGGTGTGGGTAACAAGGTATGCTTGGAGCGACAGCCATGGTAGATACCATGGAAAGACAGTTTCTCATTGAATGTCTATGAGCTCTAAGGTATCTCAATCCTAAATCTATGAAATCAATCACAAATTCTCCTGTATAAGTAAAGTTTCAATGTAACAGATTAAGGTGTCTCCAAAGCTGTGACTTTTAGCAAGAGTAAATTACCAGGAGATTGAAGACATGATTGGAGAAAAGCTAAATTTTTCAGTAATGATTGAGGAACTACTTTTATTTAATGTTAAATTTTAATTATTGTTTTACTACGTAACTACATTGTGGAAAAATGGGGAAAAAATAACAAGCAAGATATTTTGAAAATGAAACCTCTATTTCACATAGAAGGTAAATTAGTTGAAATCATGAGGTGATTTGAAGTTGTCAGCATTCGTGACCTCAGAAATGTTTATTTTTTGATTGATCAATATGCATTCTAAAATACGCTTATTTGTCAAATAAACATGCCAAAAGAAACATGTGATAACACATGCCTTTATAAAGGAGAACCCAGAATGTTCACCCTTACTTTGTCCTCATCATGAGGGGCTTCATATTAGCCCTGGTTTTAACCCTGGTGGGTAAGTAACTTACCTGCTTTGACGAATTTGAAATAATAGATTCAGGAAAAGATTTCAGAATCTAAATATAGTTCACTTACAAACACGGACTTTAACATTTTATAGAAAAAAAATTATTTTATGACAATTTTTTTGTTATTTAGAGAAAAAAGACTTTTGGCTGTATGCTGAACCAGAAGTAGAGTTAATTAGAAAGAGTTACGCCATATGTACAAGCTGAGATATAGCCTTTCATACTAAAATACATTAACAATTTTGGGTGGATTTTTTTGCTTTGTCATTTCATTACTCTTTTTTTTTTTTTTTTCCCCTTCTCTTTCAGGGACCCAGCATCTTAATTACCGTAAGTAATTTTCCTATCAACTACTGTAATTATAATGAGTGAAATTCAAAACAGAATCTGAAAAGTATATCAATGTTTAATATAATTTTACAACAGCTAATTTTGTTCAGGTGCAATACAAAAATGAACAAATTCATCTTTTTTGTTCCATACATTCTAATACAGGTACTTTAATATGTTCTGTACAGTCCCTCTAATGTTTTATGGGAACCATTTCTTTGCAGAGCCCGATTTCACTGAAAATAAGGTTTATACATTTGATTATGAAAGCGTGCTTCTCAGTGGATTTCCAGAGAAAGGACTTGCAAGATCTGGAATAAGAATAAAAAGTAAAGTGGAAATTAGTGGTATTGGGCCAAAACTTTGTCTTATTAGGGTAAGAAAATGTATTCAATTTGAAAGGTAAAATTCTCTTCATACTTGACTTTTTTTTTAAGCTTTTGGGAAGCAATTAACTTTCATCATGTGTTGTGCTTACTCAGGAAGATTGTAACTAACACTATTATTTTTTATGCAGTGCCCTGAATTCTATTTGCACTTTGCCGGGTAATTCTCAGCTCAAGCCAACCTTGGGCTTGAAGGATTTCTTCTGCTTTGTGGTCAGGGAGACAATGGAATGTAATTTGAAATGCGCAATAGTTTATTACTGGATCAATCCAATTGTTCCAAACTGTACAACCTAGGATTATTTAATCAACTGATTTCATAACCAGCAAACGAAAGACAGTAAAACATGCAACAGTAGCTGGATGTGATTCAATATTTAACATAATTAATGTCATCTGGTGGCTTCTTTTTCTGCAGGGTCTCAAGTGACATTCTTTGTCATCCTCAATTGTATGTTTTTACTGCATGCTGAGTAATTACTAAGAGTTCTGATTATGTGAAAAATACTTTTGCCTTTAACAGAAGCCTATACGTGCTTCTAATGCTTGTATTGAAACGTGCCCTTCGATTGCTTTACACAAACTCCACTTAGTCTTCTGTATGTGTGGAAGAAAAATGATCTTTTTAAAAGCATTTATTTGGCAAATTGAAAACTGCAGATTAAAAAGACCAGTGACTGTCTGATAAATGCTTGTAAATGCTGTAGCCTTTGAGCCTGAATTAGCCTTCTGTTACTACGTATTTTCCTAAGTTCAAATTATAATAGATCTAGACAGGAAACATTGCTTTTCTATGACCTTTGCAAATGGCTGGATTTTTTTTTCAAAAAAACCCAAGGGAATAAGAGCCACACATCTACACTGGTGAGTACAAGGCTTCTCTGGCAGACAGGAGGCAGAAACAGTCTTTTCTTTGCCCCACAACCTACCCCATTCCTGCCGAATCAGGTCTTGGTGTGCCAGGGTGAGTCTTCACCAAAAATTGACTCCTGTTCCCTAAAACCTTCCAGCACCCGCTCTAGTATATTTAGGAGAAAGTTTCCATTTCAAAAATAAATACAGAAATAATTTCAGGCAAGAAAAAAAGAAAAGCAAAATAAACTCACAATGTTTTGGGGTGAGTTCTAAGCTAAAGGTAACAATGCATTTATTCCCCTCTGCCCTGGGAAAAGCTTATTTTGCTACTGTTTTATTTAAATTAGACAGTTCAGAGGGATGGTTCAGGGAATCGATCTTTGATCTGTAGCCTGCTAGTTCGCATTCAGCCCAAGCAAAAAGCTGTGTTCCCTGGGCAGGTTCCAGCTGACAATTTTTTCATCACAAACCCACAAGTAAGAATTGCCAGCTGCGTTCAAAATGTAGCAGACAGCGTAAGTCCTGACTGGGCCCCGAGGGCTGGGGAAAACTACCTCACCCTGACCCTATAGAGCAGTCCCAAACCTGCCCGAATGCAATATGCCAGAAGCATGTCCAAGAGGCAGCATGAGGGATTTGCGCCATAACAGCCTCCCCTGTAAGCTTCAGTTACTGGGGTTGGCAGTGATCTCCACCAACAATAACAAAAATAAATATGAAAGTGCAGTCTCCAGTGATTTGTTGTATAAGGATTTAGTCTATGTGGCTTTTTGAGAAATTAATCCGCGTCCTGCATCCCATCGCCAGCCTGAGGTGTCAGAGAAAAGTCTCTTTAAATTGTCAAAATATATAGAAGGGAAGGGTCCTCTGAGAAACTAAGCTAAACATGCCCTATTCTCGTGGGGTGGAAATCATTCGAGCTATGCATAGTTTAGCACAACTTTCTACTTGCTTGGATGTGCCCCAGGTCGAGGCTGGAGTGTGAAGTGCTGCACGGGGTTGGGGGCAACGCCTGAGCC